TTTAAGATGGTTTCAACTAACAGTCCAAGGCAATTTTACCACCTGTTGTGATTTTTCTTCCAACGACAAGAGTGATCAGTCGGTTTGTTGTAAGTGTCCTTCGTTACATTACGCCTGCATTTGCATTTGAAAGAATTACTGTGCGTTGATTAGGCCGGTAAGCACGAAACGTTGCTTTAAATCTTATTTTATTGGGACGCACCTATCGAGCCACCAGGGAGTACGTGGTATCGAAATGATCTTTATTGTTATTATTTTTTTCATTAACTGAAGCCTGGGAAAAAAGTCATGAGAAATAAAAATGTCGGCAACGTCACCATAATGTATGAACACGTACTGGTAAATGGTCAAGTGAATGTTTTTCGCCGTCATCACCATAATGCCTATCAATGATAGATGATGGCTGGTATCTTCGACCGCATCTATCAGGCCCACCTGAGCTTTGCGGGCCACATTCCGCCAGACATTCCGCTCGTACCGTGCAGACTTTTTATGTTCCCCATGTTGAATCAAACCCGGGTCATTCGTTTGCAAGGCGAGCACCCTAAGCATTACACCACGCACACCGAAGACGCTTGGGGAGAGGAGGGTTTAGTTTTGTTGTTGGTTGTTGTTTTTTTGTGTTAAGTTTTAGTATTAGTAAGACACTTGCAAAAACACTATAAGGTCATATAAGTGCCGAAGATTAGAGGTGTTACAAGAGAGTAACAACCATAAAAAAGGAGGAGATATCAGGGCGATAGATGTTTGATAGGAAAGAAGGAGCAAACCACACCAGAGCACCCGCCAACCCACCACTTTTTTGGTAAGTGCTCGTAACTTTACTGCACGGCTCGCAACTTTACTGCTTATGGTCATTTGAGCGCGGGGTTCTTATCACACAGAGGAATATATAATATGCAAGTATAATAAATAGCGTTTAGGGTTGACTATGTAGGCAGGCAGAAAGAACATGTAAAGGACTAATTAGAGATACGAAACTCGGAAAGGTGACCACACTGGCATTTATTTATAACATACATTATGAATTCTCAGGATTTGAAGCGAAGCACAAACCTCAAGATTTCATAGTCAAATAAATGTATAACGCCACCAACTACGTACCGCACCAAGTATTATTCGAAGTGGCTAGGCGTACTTAGATCTAGGTTTGGCCCAACTGTTTTAAGTACACAGGTCTCATGAAATCTAGATCTAGTAATTATTCAGGTTCAAATACATGCAAGTCAGAAAGGCACCTTTTGGTTTTGTCTGAAATACAAATACTTTAGGCATTGCGAACTAAAAATTTCATTTACAATTCAACCATCAATATTAAGTACGGCTAGCCTGACAGTCTAGCCGTCCT